AGGGACTCTCTCTATTCCTAATATGACTTTATCTTAACTAAAGATACTCCACAAGGACCGTGTTTCTAAAGGTCACAATCTGAGGTGCTGGGGGTTAGGACTCCAACATAACTTCTTTGGAGGACATAATGTAAGCCCTAACAGACAGATTCAATTTGGAGTTCTCAGACATCTCCAAGTTCCTCATCAGAGCACCACATCATGAGAAGAGCCCCTGCTCCTGACCCCCTCGTTCTTTCCCACCCCCTGCTCTTCCGTGTCTAAGACGCCTTGTCATTCCTCCAGCCATACCTCCCACCAACCATTGCCTCTTATTAGAAAGACAAAAAGATGAAATAGAAGAACCAGAGGAAACACCGAAGGCTTAGTTCAGTAAGTCTAACATTTGAAAAGAGAGTTCCAGAGAGAGAAAGGAAGAAATGAAGGAAAAAGAGAAAAGAAAACCATCAAGATCTCATGTAAAAATAGTTCTGAGAATCAAGAGACATGAGTTTCCAGCCTAAAGGACCCACTGAAGGCCTGGCATGATAGAGGAGAAGAGACTCACCCCAAGGCGGTCATCATGTCATTTAAGAACACTGAGGACAAAAAGAAAATCCCACAAACCATCAGGGAGATAAAAATAGGTCTCATACAAAGTATCGAGAATCAGAACGATTTTCATTCACAAGAGTAACACCGGATGTGAGATCATGATGTAGTAAAGTCTTCAAAAATCGGAGGAGTGGGGGGTGGGGGAGGGGATACAATTTCAAAACCAGAAATCTGTACCAAACCAAACTACCAACTAAGTATGAGGATATGACAAAGATAGCATTAGTCATTCAAGGTATCAGAGTATTTACCTCCCACATACCTCAAGAAGGTACTGGAAGATTTGTTCCACCAAAAGAAGAGGAAAAAACTATGAAAACAGGCATGAAACCCAACCTAAGACACAATCAAAGAGCAAACCTCAGACTTCCAGTTCTAGCTCCAACATGTAAATAGCTTAGCTTATCATTTTTACAACATGAAAAATCTGGAAAACTGAAAACAATGACTTTTCTTGGACTCCTCAGGGACTGGTGTTGCAGGACAAACCACCACCCCTAAATCGGCAGAGACAAGATACGTCAAAAATCACAGCCAAGATTTTACGTAGAGTAAAGGTCATAAACTTAGTCATAAACCGGTAGGAACACTGAAATGGTAATTTTGACAAATTGCTAGAGGCTGAGTGTGGACTAGCCTAAAGGAAAGAAACTCCTGGGGCTTTCACAGTTTGGGGGGCCTTTACTTTCAGGAAGTCCACCAAGCTCTCACAATGAAGAATCACGAAAGATCCCTGCCATGGTTCTGGCAGGAAGAGGGAAGGTAATCGTGTATAATATGCCCTCAAGTATTTTCCATAACAAACGCCAGTTCTCCAAGGAAGAAGACTGCCAGGGTAATCCCAGCTGGGGGCACTTCCCCTAATACAGCACCCTCTAGCCTCCCTGTAATGCCTACCAGGGAAATGGCGGGGGGAACACAGTTAACGGGGATGATGGCTTCACAGAGATAGATTGGGAACACAGATATAATATGCTAACCCTGATCAAAAGAAACCTGGATATCACATAGTGATAAAAGGGTCAATTCTCCAAGAAGACATAGAAATCCCTAACATGTATACACCTAATAACAGGGCATCAAAATACAAGAAGCAAAAACTTACAGGAATGCAAGGAGAGGTAGATACACCAACAGTTTTAGCTGGAGACCTCAACGCTTTCAATCTGTAAATGACAGATACAACGAGCAGAAATCAGTAAGGGTATAGACGACCTAAACGGTCAATGTGATCTGACATTTACAGAATACTCCATCCAACCACAGCAGAATACGTTTCGTTCTCAAAGAATATCATTCCGTTTATATGAAGGTGAAAAATAGCAAAACCAACCTGTGCTATTAGAAGATCAGAATAATGGCCACCGCGGGAGAGCAGGATAGGGGTGGTAGCTAGGGGAGATGTAAGGGATGCTTCTAGATACTAGTAAAGTTCTGTTTCTTGACAACTGCATGTGCGCTTTGTGATAAGTCACCAAGATATACACGCACTTATGCTCTGGGTGCTTTTTTGTTTGCATATAATGCTTTGGTTCATTTTTTAAAAGAGAAGCAAAGGAATCCCCTGGGATCACAGCGTTGCTGGAGATGGAGCCCTGTCTCCACAGATTGCACAAAAGTAGAGATGCTCTTAAAGAACTTTCTTCTTCTTTCAGGGGCGCCTGGGTGGCTCAGCCGTTGAGCATCTGCCTCTGGCTCAGGGCGTGATCCCAGGGTGCAGGATTGAGCCCCGCATCGGGCTCCCCTCCCTGCAAGGAGCCCGCTTTACAAGTGTAAAACACTGAAGTATTATTTGTCGAACTTTGCAGAAATTTCCTAGTTCCATTAAGAAAGACTTTGCCAGCTTTGGTAGCAGTTGTATTCAGAATTTGGCATAGAACCTGCTACATGGTAGAGTATTCAATATCCATTTGGTCATTTAATCAATTGGAGACTTCGCCCTCTGCCTGCGTCTCTGCCTCTCTCTCTCTGTCTCTCATGAATAAATAAATAAAATCTTTTTTAAAAAAATAAATAAAATCTTAAAAAAAAAAAAAAGAATTTTCTTCTTTCAGAGGAGAAACGGGTGGGACTAAGGAGATGGCTGATGACCTTGGCCACGACTCGGGGGATTTGGTGGACGTAAGAGGAGCTCCCAGGCTCCCTGTGTTCTCTCAACCCATAAAATGGAATCTGAAGGAATAGAAATATTATTTTTTTCTTAAACATGCTTCCTCTCATTACATATTACATACTGCCATGTGACTTAGCGGTGCTTGTTTCACGAGAGAAAACAATGTTCCTGCTCAAATTTCTCAAATCCCTCGAGACGGGTTTTAGTTTTAAAGTCAGTACACAGCTAAGTGCACTCAGGGCCCACTTGCTTTCTCTTTGCCTTTTCCTCCCTCCTGGATGTTATAAATGGCTTATTTTCAATTTCCATAATGTTTCATTACAACAGGCAGAGGTCAAGAGAGCAGAGATAAATGAAATTATTAAACCATCTCCCTACCCTCATTCTCAATCCCCACACGAATCCATTCAGCCGTCTTCTCACCAAAGGTTCGTTGATGAATCTAAGAACGGACCAGTGAAGAAATAGATGATTTCATCAGAGCTGCCAACGTGTAACAGAACCGGACGCCTTCACCTGCTCGCCCTACCTTTGCCCTGTCAGCTGCTGATGCCACAGAGCCTTGGAATAGTCTAGATGCCGACATCTGACCGACAGCAGGGGAACAGACAGGGAACCCAGCAACTACATAAATCAACCATTAAAAATCGGAGGTTTTTTTTTTTTTTCCTGGAAACGTTTTTATAATTAACCTACAAACCTAAATTCTGTGGAAGGGAACTCAAGGCAAAGTCCCAAAGTAGTGATAAAATTCCCACTTCTTAGGTTCACATTTCAGGCATGCCTCAATATTAACTTCTCATTTCCTCCTCTCCTATGCTAATCAGGAGTGAAATAAGTACAATCTTCAGACTTTGGCCTTAAATTTAATCCCAGGTCTCGAGGGGGCTTTATTGCTTTTCTAATCCGGCCTCCTCATTACACAGATAAGAAAACCAAGGCGCAGGGGGAGAGCCCACTGCCCAAGGTCACACGAGGTCAGAGGTGCAGCCGGGGCCCAGAACCCAGGCCTGCCCCTGCCTTTACCTGCATTACCTCCACAGGACGAAGCCAAGTGGCCAACGACGCCCGCGTCCCTGCTGCCGCCGGAGAGCCTGAGCTCGGCCCAGTGGTTCTCCGAGCTCGCCCAGCCCACTGCCAGGCCCCAGAGACCCGCCACCATCCTCCCTGAGCCTCCTCCCTCTGGTGCCAGCGTTGGACTTCACCTCCAGAGGAAACAGGAGTCAGCCTAGAACCCTGCCCCCCTCCAGCATCTCCCTGACCCTGCACCACACGACAGGCCCACTTCCAACCGTCTGGTCCCTCCTTCTCAAGGGCAATCCTGGGAGTCCTCCCATCTTGACCTCCCCCCTCCCACTCCTATGGATGAGCCATCTCTGCGTCCAGCAGCCTTTTGCAACGGACCTCCAAGCATGCCAGCTTCTGGCCTTAGAGAGCAGCACACACCTGCCCCCGGGGCTCTCTGCCCTTCTGGGTCGGCCTCCCCGCTCCCCTTCCTCATGTCCCACCCCACCTCCTGCCACTGCCCCTCCTGCCCTCCTTAACACCAAGAGCCTCTCCCTACTTCTCTGCCCCTGACCTGCCTGGTGAATTCCCCCGAGACCCCCTCCATGGATCCCGCCCCCATCTCGCCCTCGCAGGGAAAGCTCCTCTCAGGGTTTGCTTGCCCCTGGGTTGCTCTCCCTCGATGCACCTGCCCCACTTCATTTGCGGTGATCCTGTGGCTGGGTCCTGGCCCTCCTCTCTCATTTCACCCTCTCCCTGGAGGTGAGCACCCCCTCCATAGCCACAGTTACCCTCCAGTGCCCCCGGGGCCTCAACATCCAGCCTGAATACACGTGCCAGATGCCGCACTGGCCACCCCCCAGGGGGTCATAGCCTCCATGCACCTCTATGCCTCTCCCTTCCCCATGACCTGTCCCCCGTTACCTCTCCCGAATCGCTCACCCCTCCCTACCTTGCCCACTAATCCCCAGTGATGCTGAACCCTCTGGCCTTGGGCTGCACCTTCTATTGGAAACACTAGTCCTCCCTTGCCCTCCCCCTCCCCCAGCTGTTAAATGATGAGGTCCTAACTCCCCGGCCTCAGCTTAGACGCCACCTCTTCCATGGACCTCTGCCAAGCCCCCAGGTGAGTGGAAGGGCCCCTCCCCCACGTCCCCACCTCTCTCTCTCTCTCTCCTCTCTCTCTCTCTCTCTGGGCCCCGAGCTGCTATCTGGGTTACTCAGTGCACAAGAATGCAAGCCTGTATCTGTCCTGCTGGCCACCGGGTTCCCAGCTATAAGCACGTACCTGGTTCACGAATGTTCCAGTTTGTTCAGCTCTCAGTTGCATGAAATAGGTGTTCGCCTCGCTGGGTGGTCCTCTAGACCATGAGCACCTGGAGGGCAGAAACCGTTCTAGCCACGTGTCCCAGAACCTGGCACACAGCTGGCTCCAGTGAATGTTGCTTCTGTGCCACTACCGCATGAGGGGGTCGGTGCCTGCCGGGTCAACCAGGACACCCTGATCAGGGGAAGAAGGGGACAGGGAAAGAAGAGCGGCCGGTTTAGGTGACAGTGATTTGGGCCAATCGTGCATGGTCATTTCACACAGGTCCCAGAGCCCCAAGGAGAAGAATTCGAACAGAGGACATCAGCTCCATTCAGAGGACGCGCAGCATCCTGGCTGCAGCGGGCATCGAAACGACATGGGGAGGATCTGTTGGAACGGGGCCTCCGGTCATCAGAACTTTCTGTGCTGTCTGTGACAGGTCACTGGGGAATGCCCAACGCCTCCCTGGGAACAGAGGAGCAGGGGCCCGACTGCCTACGTGGCTGGACTTCCGAGCGCCTGGCCAGCCCTGGCACCAGGGCAGCAGCATGGCCTCGAGCCCCAGCCACACACACACACACACACACACACACACACACACACGACGCTGCAAACTGCGAAGAGTCAAGCAATGACCTTTGGATCCAGGGTTTTGCTGGCAAATTCAGCCACCACGTCCCGACCACAAGGGCTGCTCCGGTGGGGACCCAATTTCAATAAGCTGCCCTGAAATCCAATTAGCCTCTGCAAACACAGCAAGCCAACCCCTTTCTGCAGAAGCAGAACATGGAGAAACCCTAAAACTCCAAGGCAAGACCCCAAGCCGCTCAACCCAGATGTGTGCACCTGCTCAAGGGGCTGAGTGCCGGCTGTCGTGCACCAGCCCTCGATGGCTCCCAGCCTCAGCTGCTCGCTGACCCTACTTCCCCTCCCCACCCCAAGGACAGCATTAAAGCATAGGGGTGAGAGTCACAGGCACCGCAGCGCAACATCGTGTCACCTTCCCAGGAGCACACAGCTCTCTGACACTCTGCAGGGGGAAGTGACGCTGAACGGCAGGCAGGAGAGCAGGGGTGACAGAGACTTCTGGAGTGTGCAGGGCCTGAGGGGCAACCTCCACTTTCAAGCTACGAGTCCCCGGGTGAGTTCCAATACTTGCCAGATCATCAGTGTTCCCATCTTTAAAATGGGGATAATCGTGGTACCAACCAGGCAGGCATAACGAGAGGGGGACATCACTTATCTATGGCAGTGGCGCTTTTTCCTCTTCTCTTGGTAAAGTGGCCGCATTTTTATTGTCCCAGACAAATAGAATGCATTGGGTTTGTATCCTTCGGGCAGACCTCGTACGTTTCCATCAGTTGCACGTTATTTCCTGCCCTGTGAGAGGTCATGGGGAGAGGATGGCCCCTACCTGCCACAGCCAAGCTTTGGCCCAGAGAGTCCCTCCTAATCACTGAACAGATACTGGTTGAGGATCTGCCTTCTAGAAGGGAGAGGTAGATAATAAACGATAAGCTTAATACATAAGTTATGTAGTAGGTTAAAGGTCACATGTATTCCGGGGGAAGAAAGGAACAGGGAAGGGAAAATGAGAGGAAGGGCGTGGGGACAGGTTGTACATTAAATGGATCAGTCAACATGGACCTCACTGAGAGACTGAATGAGACTGAAGGCTGGAGTCAGTCAGAAATCCGAGCAGAGACCATTCCAGATGGAGGGAACTGCTTGACGAGGCTCTGAGATGAGAGCGGGCCCAGCATGTTTGCAGGCGCCTCCTCGGTACAGACACCTGGTCTACTCCTTGACCCCTGGTTCTGATTCCAGGCATCTGCTGGCAGCCAGGGGAGGGCCCGGGCCTTGCTCGTGATAGTCCAAGCCCGTCCACGTCTAGTCGCTGAGGCCCTGCCTCCCTGACCTGCCCAGATGTCTCCGTCTCACCCACTCCTGCAGGGAGGCCCCCCAGGGTGAGCTACACTCCAAGATGTGCATCTCTGCTATTTCCCACCCTGTGCTTACACCCTGGTCAGCCTGTGGGGTTAGACTTCCTCCTCCAGTTGCAATGGCGCCTCATCCCTCTTGCGTCCTCAGGTCCAGCAGGGGGTCCTACTGCAGTGGTCCGTGCACCGACCTCTCCTCGGCCGCTGTGGTGAACCAGGTCATCCTGAGCATGTGCAGCCAGCTCTCCCCAGTCACAGCTCAGTGGCCACTGGTGGGTGGGCTGGGGTAGCCTTAGAAAGGGAGGGCTGCACGGGTAGTGAGTAGACAGCGGAGGGGTGGGTGGAGAAGTGTGTGGACAGACGGATGAAGGACAGACAGGCAGGTCACAGATGAGAAAACAGCCCTATCCTTTCCCAAAAACCATTCTGAAGAGGAATGTTCTTTCATCCCCAAAGCACTGTTGTTTCCAGAAGCTCCACCCCCACTAATGCAGGCCCCTCAGGTTCCAGCCCTGAGTCCCAGACTCACACACAGTGACCAGTGACGTCACCCACCTCCCCGCACCATTGGTTGTGGAGATGCAGACGCTTCCCACATACTCCCCAAGGGTCTTAGTGCCGACTGAGGGGGGCCAGGCGTTTTCAAATCTTCTCTAACAATAGAATTATTTCTTCAAGTGAAAACTCATGAAGAGCTCCAGGAGACAAAACAGAGACGTGAAAATGGTCTAACTGAAGTGTAAATAAAGCACATTCTGGAGCACCAACCCTTACTCCACCCAGCCTACCCCTTTGCCCTGGATTCCACAAAGCACCCTTCACAAACCAGCCAACAGGCCCAAGGGCTCCAGGAGCAGTGAGAGCTGTAGCAGCCCGTGGCGGCCCGCGGCTCACAGCTTGGAGCAGAGTTACAGGAGGCGGCGTGTGGGAGAGAGAGAATGTGTGTGTGAGAGAATGTGTGTGTGAGAGAGAATGTGTGTGAGAGAGAGAATGTGCGTGAGAGAGAGAATGTGTGTGAGAGAGAATGTGTGTGAGAGAGAATGTGTGACAGAGAGAATGTGTGTGAGAGAGAGAATGTGTGTGTGAGAGAGAATGTGTGTGAGAGAGAGAATGTGTGTGAGAGAGAGAATGTGTGTGAGAGAGAGAGAATGTGCGTGGAGAGAGAATGTGTGTGTGAATGTAGTAAGAGAGAGAATGTATAGAGAGAAATTGTGTGAGAGAATGTGTGTGTGAGAGAGAATGTGTGTGAGAGAGAGAATGTGTGTGAGAGAGAATGTGTGTGAGAGAGAATGTGTGTGTGAGAGAATGTGCGTGAGAGAGAATGTGTGTGAGAGAGAGAATGTGTGTGAGAGAGAATGTGTGTGTGAGAGAGAATGTGCGTGAGAGAGAGAATGTGTGTGAGAGAGAGAATGTGCGTGAGAGAGAGGATGTGCGTGAGAGAGAGAATGTGTATGCGAATGTGCGTGGCCGTGTGTGACTGTGTGTGAATGTGGAAGTGTACGTGTGAGTGTGTGTGTGTGAAAGAATGTGTATGAGTGTGTGGCTATGAGTGTGAAAAGGTGTGTGAGCATGAGAGAATGGATGAAAGTGTGCGTGTGAAAAGGTGAGTGTGGGTGGGAGAGGTGGTGCGTGGGAGTGTTTAAGAGAGAATGTGAGTGTGAGTGTGAACGGGTGCACGTGTGTGTGTGTGTGTGAGTGAGTGTGAGTGTGGGGGGGGTGATCAGATCTCAGTATATTACTTAGCTCTACACGGTTAAACACACAGGCCACAGTCGTAGCCACTTCACCGAACGGCCATAAAACTGAAAGATAAATAGGAAATCCCTAACTTGCAGGGATTTTTCAGCGGAGGGAGTGGTGCAATAAAGTGCTCTCTGCACCTCGTCAAACTAAGTCAAACCCCAGGGGAGTGGGCAAACAGAGAAAAAGGACTGGTTTTTTCCCCCTCGGTTGCCCCATAAAACCTTCTCCAAGGCCGAGGGGCCAGCTCCGAGGCCCGGGTCAAGGACCGGTGTCCAGGGCCGGAGGACACGGGGCCTCCTGGAACCGGCCCCCCGGTGAGGAGCGGTGCCCAGCGGGATCTTCTGTGGGCCTCAGGCCAGCACCTGGGGAGGAGGGGCCCCCCCGCTGGTCGCTCAGCGTCCCGCACGGGGTTGAGCCCAGGCCTTGGGCGCCGGGCACCCGGAGCCCCCCACACCCGGGGTGCTGCGAGCCAGGAGCCCAGGGCGTCCCGTGCCCACCCCACGTAGCACCTCCTTCTCCCTCAGGGCCACCAGGACTTCATCCACCGGCAAAAGAAAGAGCCCAAGCACGTGCCAGGGACCACCCGCCGAGCGGCCAGCCGTGGGGTGCCCCCGGCCCTCGCTGCAGCGCACGCCCCTGCACGGGGACATCTCGCACGCCGGGTGCTTATCCAGAAACACGCCTCACTGAACTGGAACCACGAGGAGATTCGAATCCTAATTCCATTCGGGGGGGTCGGGAGAGGCTGGGGTCAACCCCCCATCGACCAGGCCGGCCGTACAGCCCCACAGCCAGCTCCCATCGCGTGGGGCCCGGGACGGAGCCAGCCCTCAACAGCCAGCCGGGGGGTGGGGGGGGGCAAACCCTGCTAGGACGGGGGCCACAGGCGCACAGGTCCCCCCTCGCTCGCTCTGGTCCCCTGGTGCCTGCTTTCCAAACGACCTGCTCCGGGACTCCTCTCCCACGAGACGGGTCCCCAGGTCCGCCCGCCCCGGCCGCGCTCTCCCTCATCAGCCTCCCAGAGGAGCTGTGTCCACGGAACAGCCGCACAAAACACTTTCTCTGCCCCCACGAAAGAAAAGGCCCCGGATTTAGGAGGCTGTCAGCCGCAGCCAGGGTGCGCTGCAAGCAGATCCGGGGGCTTCTCCTGCCCCACTTGGCCCCGGGCCACCTCTCAGGGGAGTCACTGCTGCTCCTTCCCTGGCCTCCCGAGCGCCGCCTCTGGCCTGGGGTCCCCGGGGCCTGGACACGAGCGGGGGGCCTGGAGGTGCAGCAGAGCCAGGGCTCTCGGTGAGCAAGGACAGGAGAACGGCCCGAGACAGGAAATCAGCGGGACCAGGAAAGGGGGGGTGAGAGGAAGGAGTAATAGTTTATTTTAAAGATAGCAGGAGAGCGGCGAAGAAGTGATAAGGCGACATTCTTCGGAGCAGCTACAAACGCCAGGCCCTAGGGCAGACGTCGAGCGCCTTCCGGAGCGGCTCCGGAGCAAGGCTCTTCACGCCCATTTGACAGATGAGGGAACGGAGGCTGGGACAGGGTAAGACGCTTGCCCACGGTCACGCAGCTGGTAAGTTCCAACCCTGGCGCTGAGACCACGGAGAGACTCGGTGGACCCGCTGGCGATACGAAGACAGGAGCAGAGGGCCACCGAGGCCTGAACTTCCTGGTCCCGCTGAGTGTGCGAGGCCCCTGTCCCCGCGGACACAGGAGGAGGACAAAGCAAAGGACGCCCGACATCACGTGGCCGGCCAGGCCCCAAGGTCCAGGAGTCACGGGGCTGAGGTTGCAGGTGTTGCTCGGCGTCCAGGGCACAGTGGGCCTCCACTCGATGACGTACCGTGTCCAGCCAAGGGCTGAATGTGCCCACAGTCCTCCTGTTTGCGCTTCGTGACAATGAATTTGCTGAGCTCTCGTTCGGTCTCGCTGGGAGAGCTGAATTTCTCACAACCACCCCCCCCACCTCACCCACGTCACGCAGAATGTGCAGACGCTGTCGGCAGCAGAGCCAGGGGGCGGGGTGAGGGGAGCGCCCGGGACCCCAGCTGCCGCTCGGCCCCTGGAGCTAGTGCGTGGCCGGGCATCACGCGAAGACCCCCCTCCCCGTCTAAAATGTTTAAAATTGACTGGAAATCCGTCCCCTCCCCAGGGGTCCCAGGGCGGCTCCCGAGGCACAGGTGAGAGGGTCGCAGGACTGTGAATCCCGTCACCCCTTTCTCTGGAGGAGCAGGGGCAGGGACCGACCCCAGGGAGCCATTCTCAGAGCAGACGGGCTTCTGTCCATCAGGAGCAGCCCCGGAGCTGGCCTGTCCAGGGGAGCCCCAGTTCAGTGTCTCAGAGTCCTCGACGGCTCGGCCACCTACCCTATGGGGGTTCTGGGAGGGGGGGATCCAGGGGAGTAAACCCGCCACAAAACAGTTATCTCTCATGGGGTCTGACATTTGGGGTACAACGGTCATGCCCCTCTTTTAAAAGCCATGGGGCTGACACTTGTCATCGGATTTGAAAAAAAGAAATCTGCCCCCAGGTGTGTCCTAAATAGAGACATAAACACCCTCACTGTCTCTCAGGAACGCTCTCCGTGTCCAGTTAAGGACTAGGCTCCTCAAGAGGTTAAGAAGCGCCGCCTATCCCCTCGAGATTTTTTTTTTTTTTTAAGTGTGAGAACATCCAGAAACCACCGTGGTTCCAATTTCTACTTGGCAAGTAGGGGCAGCAAGTTTTCAAAGGAAAAATGTGTCACATTCAAACTGCCTTTCCCGAGACGCCCGGGTGGCTCAGCGGTTGAGCGTCTGCCTTCGGCTCAGGGCGTGACCCCGGGGTCCTGGGATCGAGTCCTGCATCGGGCTCCCCGGATGGAGCCTCCCTCTCCCTCTGCCTGTGTCTCTGCCTCTCTCTCGGTGACTCTCATGAATAAATAAAATCTTTAAAAACAAAAGCAAAAAAACACCTGCCTTTCCCTCCCTCCTCACTAACTGCTCCTACTAACTGCTCTCCTGGGACCTCCTGGGACCCACTCCCTCGGGCACAGATTGGGAGGTGCTCAGACCACCCACCCAGCAGACCCTGTGCTCCTTCCCGCCACGGGCAAAGCCAACGCCCAGCAGGGAGCCGTTTGATAAATGTCGATGAAAGCCTGCTCTGGCCTGGGGTAAAGCGTTCACTGTCTGCGGCCTCCCTGCCCCCCTTTAGAGAGGGGACAACCCGCATCAGGACAGCCCAGGCCTGGATTTCCACCCACCACCCACCTGCTGTGTGAGAAAAAAAAGACACCTATCTAAAATTCTGATTTTTGTCTACTTTACCTTAATGGTGTGCAATTTTACATAAATGTTGTGGGCATACAAAGGCAGGAGACAAAGCACATATATAATTGGTGTCTCTGCACATCACGCTTTGGTTTAGAATTTGTGTTAAAGGGAGCTGGACTGTCCTTACCAGGTATTAATAGCCTAACAGGAGGGGGAGGCTCCCCGTGGAGGATCCAGGGGGCAAGATTTTTGTATCCGTAATAGGGTAAGGGCCGACGAATGTGCTTTAGAGGGGATGCTGGAGCGGATTTCATCAACTCCTCCATTAAAAAGTCTCAAAAACGTATTTAAAAAAAAAAAAAAACACTTACTTTTAGGAGTAAAGACTCCTTTACTTACCCTGGCTATGCCTGAAAAGGATCAATTTCATCGAAAATGACGGATCTGTTGTTCTAGAACCTGCAGGTGCCCAGGTGCCGCAGGTGTGAGATGCATGGGATGAGGTCCCCCACGCAAACAGGCAGAAACACAAAGAAGTATCGGGGGAGACTCGGGGGACGTTCTCAAGAGCGGAAGGTGTCCTCCCACGGCAGCCTTGCTGCTCCGCCCCAGGACCCGTCCCATCCCACAACACGACCCCGTCACGCTCACGTTCTCCAGCCACACACGAGGCGCCTTCTCAAGACCACGGGGCTCTTTCTAGACCCGGTTAACCTTCCAAGGTAGAGGCGGGGCCCAGAGAAGAGGTGAACCCAGGAATCTCGAGGGGTCCCAAACCGAGGCCACACCTCACTCACACCGCGAGTCCACGGGGCGAGGGGCCACACACGCTCCGCATCTTGGGACCCAGCCTCATCAACCTGTGGCTTCCAGGCAGGTCTTCGGGACGGTGAGAAGAGTGGAGAGCACGTCAGCGCTGCCCGGCGCCCTTTCTAGGCGCTTCCCTCAGGCTGACCTGCCTTCTGCTCCCGCTTGCTCCTCACCCTCGGTGGGCATCCTCCACGCCCGCTGCCCTTCTGCCCACAGGCTGCTCTCCACGGCCTGCGAGCAGGCCCCTGCCGCCGCGGGCTCTTCTGGCACATGCCCATCCCTGGCTGGACGGAAAACGCTTAGGACAGACGCGGGCCCTCCCAGCCCTGACGCGCTCCTCCCAGAGCCCGCAGGCCCTTCGTCCAGCCTCCGCAGCCGGCGAGTACTCACCTGCTGCACCTGCCCCCAGAGCCTGTAGGGAGCGGTTCAAGCCGGAGGCTCACACGCCAGCTAGCCGGGCAGGTGAGACAGCGAGCGCCCTTCTCTGCGCGGAGCTGCTGGGGTCCCGCCGCGCCGGCACGCAGGCCCGAAGGCTCCAGGACCTGCGAGCTCACAGACCTCTCCTGCGGCTCCGTGTCCATCCCTGGCCCCGTGCACCTGGAGAGCTCTTCTCGGAGACGTGTCACCCGGTACATTCATTTTCTGTTGCTGTTCTCACAAAGTGCCACAGACTTGATGGCTTAAAACAAGACAAATTTCGTATCTTACAGTTCTGGAGGCCAGAAGCCTAACATGAGTCTCACCGGGCTAAAATCAAGGTGTTTGCAGGACCACGTTCTTTCTGGAGCTTCCAGGGCACAGTCTGTCCCCTTGGCTTTTCCAGCGTCTGGAGGCCGCCCAGGTTCCTGGGCTCCTGGCCCCTCCTGCCATCAAAGCCGGCAACGGCCCGCTGGGTCTCTCACATCATCGTTCCAAGTGACTCTGCCACCGTGAGGACATGGGGCCCATCTGGGTAATCGGGGATCTTCCCCCGAATCCCAGTACCTAGACTTAATCCCGCCTGTGCCCTGTTCACAGGTTCTCGAGGGTAGCACGTTGAGGGCCTTCATTATTCTGCCCACCGCACTCGAGGGCAGGCATTCCCCTGGGACGTGCTGTGACTCCAGAGACTCCCATGCTCTCGGCCAGCTTGGTGGCCTGGGGTGGGGGGGACAGAGGGGGACACCCATGTGTCATCTTTGTGATCACTGAGCAGCACCCACCGGCAGCCATGGGTTTAAGGACCCGGGAAAGGACCTTCCCAGGAACTGGGGCTCCCATTTGGAACAGACAGACAGACAGGGGACTGGCCTTCTTCTGTGGGAAGTTTGCTCCAGGAGGCAGCGTTTCTGCCGCTCCGTGGATCACACAAGGGAAACAGCTGGAAGGGATGGGTTTGAGGAGTGGCCACGGCCCCCATGCTCCGTGTATACTCCTCAGGCAGCGAGGACACCCTGGGGACCTGGGTGAGGATCTCTGAGGCCAGGGGGAGCCGCAGTGGGAAGTGCTGAGCCCCGGGCAAGCACAGGGAGTCTCCAAGACACCAGCGCCTTTGTCAGATTGACAGTGGAACAGACTCCTGCCGCAGACCCTGGGGGGGTGGGGGGGGTGCGGCGGGCAGGGGCAGGCACTGTGGGGTGAGAGCTGCCCTCTGCCCTCCGCGGGGATGGAGGCCACAAGCCAGGGAAGCTCTCAGGGCATGGGGGCGGGAGGGGGCACTGATGCTCAGTGTCCGCAGGCCTGGCTCCTGCCCTGGAGTGCCTGCTCCCCTGAACACGCAGACATCCTTTATCATTTCAAAACCCCAGAAATCAAGAATCATGCAACCCTAGGACGGGATGGCACCCTGAAGTCTCATCCCGTCTGCCACACCTGCCACAGGAAGGCACCATCAACTCCTTTCCAGAAGCCTAGAGGTCGGCCAAGTCCACTGGGCAGGCAAGGGTGGCGTGTGGCTGGCAGCCCTGCTCCCCCTCCTCCCCGATGACCACGTGCGACAGGCAGGGCCAGAGGTGGGGTCTTCCCGGGACCTGCCAGCCTCCTCTCCAGCTTCAGGAGCCGGGGCGGTGGGGGCAGCACGGTGCGGGGTGGGGGTGCTCAGGCTGCAGGCATCGGGAGCCCACGGGCCTGCACCCTCATTCCTGGCTCGGCCACCCTCTCTGGCCGCACAGCCTCCTTAGCCTCCCTGAGCCTCTCTTCCCCCGGGGAGACTGGAGTGGGATGAGCCCCACCACCGAGGAGCCAGGGTTTCCCAGAGCCCCCCCGCCCTCACCTTTCTCCCCCTCCTTACCAAGCACGAGGCAAGCCAGACTGACTTTCCTGATCGGCCTCACTAATTTCCCGACCCGGCGGCCCCCGAAAGTCAAACGCTTTGTTGTTCAGCCACGGTCCGAGCTTCCTGAGGTCCTCCCGTGGGGCCGCATACCACGGGGCGGGTGAGGAGTGGGGTCAGCCCCAGGGACCCAGCAGCCCTGGCCCATTGTGGTGGCGCAGACAGTTTAATTATTAACCCTTTCTCCACCGCGGCCAGCCTCCCACGCACATTCATGAGATACTAACCCCTTCAGCCCGGGCCACATAACTCGGCGCCCACGTTACAAGCCGCCCCGCATGCCTGGGCTCTGAGTCACTCGCCAGCGCGGTGTTTAGCGCCTTCGCAGGGTGATTTATCATCGGGAATCACGGACGCCCCACCTGTCAACGGCTCCCGCGCCAGTGCCACTTCCCTGGCCTCCCGCGGCTGCCGCAGCCCCGGCGGCCTCTGTTCCTCTCGGGCCTGGCCTCCGCCCCAGATGCTGCGGTTCCCCGTGGGCACCCCAGGTCCCCCTCCCCCCTGGGACGACAGCCTGCAGCCACCGCCCCTGACATCAGCGGAGCCCTTCCCTTCCCCGCTCCCCCACTCTTAACACCTCTGCGTCCTACAGGAATTCCCGATTTTCTCCCTCCTTTGGGGAAGCACAGCTGATGTCACAGGGAAAGGCGGCTCCTTCGCCCTCTTCCAGCCCTTGATTACGCACAAATATCCTCAACACCCTCATCACGCTCGTCCGCGCTCCAGCTGCGCGGCACCGAACCTCAAGCCTCCTCCGTTTCTCCAGACCTCGCAGCGACCGGCTCCAGCGACCGGCTCCAGCGGGGTGCACTGCTCCTCAGCAACACGCCCCCCCGAACCAAACACGGAATCGTTCAGGCACACAGCAGAGGCGGGTGACAACTTGGTGTATCCACTTCCTGTGGCTTCCGTGATACGTCACCACACAGCAGGTGGCTAAAACAACAGATTTCTTTTCTCACGGTTCTGGTGGCTGGAAGGCCAAACTCGAGGTGTCGGCAGGGCCGTGCCCCCCTCTGAAGGATCCGGAGCAGGATCCTTCCTTGCCTCTTGGCTTCTCCGGTCGCCCAGAATCTTTGGCTCGTAGGCGCATCCCTCCTGTCTCTGCCTCATCACCCTGCGGGGCGCTACTGGTCTTCCCTGTGGGCGAGTCCAGTGTCCCTTCTGCTTATAAAGGCACCTGTTGTCAGACTAGGCCCACCCACGTGACCTCACCTTAACTGGATCGGATTTGCAAAACACCTAGGCCCGGGGAAAATCACATCCACAGGTACCAGGGGTTAGGACTCGAACATACCTCTTTGCAGGACACAGTTGTACCCGCAACACTGTCCTCTATCTGCCCGAGCCTGGTTTTCTTACCTTTAAGGTAACACAGCAGCCGCCCCCTCTCCCGACCAGGAAGGTTTGGTGACAGAGAACAGGTGCAGCCCAGCCACTTCTGGCACAGATTTCTCAACCCTTTTCTGTCAAGACCCGTGAGGCGATCTTGCAGGGGTCCCTCCAGGCCCACCAGCTGCTTCTCCTCCTTCTGTCTTTGTCCCTCCTGAAAATGTATCCGAGTGACAGTGGTGATGTTACAGACAAAGCCTGGAATCCGTGCTAATTTATATGTTTTTTAGACTTAAGGAATCGTTGGTGAACTTGGCCCCTTTAGGAGGAAAAACAACTTGCTGGAAACGTGGATTGTTCTTAAGTGATCCAGAACCGGGACGCCTGGGGGGCTCAGTGGTTGAGCATCTCCCTTTGGCCCAGGGTGTGACCCCAGAGTCCTGGGATTGAGTCCCGCATTGGGCTCCCCGCAGGGAGCCTGCTTCTCCCTCTGCCTGTGTCTCTGCCTCTCTGTGTGTGTCTCTCATGAATAAATAAATAAAATCTTTAAAAAAAAAAAGAGAAAACGATCCAGAGCCATCAGTTTAGGTAGAGCACAGAATTACTCAACAAGCATCTGCCCGACCCCCTTGCCCTTCTATACGGCCCGGGGCAGCAGAGCGGTTCCTTGAGGACTCGGGTCCGGAGTCAGCCAGACAGTCCCAGCCCATCAGCCGCGCAGCCCCAGGCAAGTCCTGTCAGCCCCCTGAGCCTCGGGTTCCCACCCGTGAAACAAGAGCACCTGCCTCGTGGCATTGCTGCGAGGATGGAGTGGACGACGCTGGGGAACGGGAGGCCCCTGGCGCACCCGCGGGCTGGCACCTGCTGGGCCGCCACAGTTGCACGTTCCCTCCCTGCCTGGTGGAGGCCCCGACGTGAGGCCCCGTGTCGCGCGGGGCCAGGGGTGTTCTCCTCGGCACCCAAAGGCCCTGCCAAATACAACCAGAGGCCTCTTGCGGAGCGCTGGCCGCTGCGGCTCCGTAAAGACGCGGGGCTCCACTGTCTGCACTTGGGAGCTGCGGACCAGGGATCCGCTCTCAGGAGACTCGGCGCGACACCCACTCCACGGAGGAAATGACTCCCCGCCGGTGCCTCGTCTCCCAGACGTTGCCCCTCCCCCACCGCGGCTGGAGGGGTGCTGAGATTTTGGGGACCTCTGCAGTAGGAATCCCGGCCTCGGGGTCCTAGTCAGGCCACGACTGCAAACATGTTTCGGACTCAAGTGCATTCAAACCGACTTGTGAAAATGCCACGGGAGGGAGGTTTTGAGAATTGGGAGACTCCCGGGTGTCAGGCTCTGCGCTCGGGAACTCAGCCCGGCTGCCCTGGGCTCCCGCCTCGCCCCCCAGGGGCTCTCTGCACCCAGAGTGGGTCCCCAAGTGTCCCCAGGCCCCCAGCGGTCCCGTGTCCGGATTCTCTGCTTTTAAAGCAGGTCAGACACGACGCTGCTAACATCTTTCCTCCTCTGCATTCTCCCCCCTCGCGTTCCTAAAACCCTCTCCCATCCCCGTGGCCCGCGTTCCTTCGGTGGACGTTGCACGAAATCGGAAACTTTGGGAAGAATCGGTAACGAGCAACACAGAGAGGAGAGAGGCGCGAACATCTGGGCCAGATGTGGCCGCACGTCCAGGAGCGCTGTGCAGGGCTCCCCGCTTCCCTCACGCCACTCCCGCCCCACTTGGCCTCTTTGTCCTTAGCCACCTGATCAGCAGCAGCGTGTCATCTTCTCCAAGCGGGTGTGGTGGGGTTTTGTTTCATTGATGAGGCAGCTTTTTCCCTTTTATGAAAAAAACTCACTCTGTAGAAGGGAAAGAGAACAGACACAATATAAGCAGATTTCTGGGGGCGCCTGGGGGGCTCAGTGGTTGAGCATCTGCCTTGGTCTCAGGCCGTGATCCCGGGTTCCCGGGATCGAGTCCCACATCGGGCTCCCTGCAGCGAGGCTGCTTCTCCCTCTCCCTGTGTCTCTGCCTCTTTCTCCGGGTCTCTCATGAATAATCTTTAAAACAATTATTTTTAAAGCAGATTTCTGAGGACCAGTGACTCGGGAGCACTTCTAGAGTTGGTTTCCCCAGAGTGGCACCTGACGGGGATGCGCAGGATGGAACCTGACCCCTCCGGAGGGGAGCTCCTGGGAGCAGGAACACTGCTGCTCCTTGCCTGGAGGTGTCTGGCCAGCCGAACCCAGTTCAGGGACCAGGGAGCTGACACAGGGGTCCCCCCAAATGATTAGGAAAGGCCTCTCCCCTAGCATGTCCAAGTGCTCCCCAAGTGCGCTGGCGGCCTTCATGGCCCTGGGGCTCCTGGTAGCAGTAACGGGTACTTTGTAAAGGCCCAGGAAGGTTCTCGAAACTGATGGCTTTCTGCTACTCACTGACCAGTGTTCAATCAGAGCAGCCGATTTCTGTCCCGTATTCCTGAGTTCAGAGTCAGAGTATTGGGGGCGTGGGTGGCTTAGTGGGTGAAGCGTCTGCCTTCAGCTCAGGTCATGATCCTGGGGTCCTGGGATCGAGCCCCACATCGGGCTCCCTGCTCATCGGGGAGTCTGCTTCTCCCTCTGCCTCTGTTTTCTCTCTCTCTCTATCTCTCTCTCAATCTCTCTCTCTCATATAAATAAATAAATAAATCCTTAACAAAAAAAAAAAAAAAATGAATCGGGATCCCTGGGTGGCGCAGCGGTTTGATGCCTGCCTTTGGCCCAGGGTGCGATCCTGGAGACCTGGGATCGAATCCCACGTCAGGCTCCCGGTGCATGGAGCCTGCTTCTCTCTCTGCCTGTGTCTCTGCCTCTCTCTCTCTGTGACTATCATAAATTTAAAAAAAAAAAATGAATCAAAGAGCTGACCTCAAGGTCTATCAGGAAAGGCCTCACCAGCTCTGGGTTTGGCTTCTTTGCAGCCCATCCCCATGCGCTAAGACTTCTCTCCCCCAAACCGTGAAGGCCCCTCCGCAATACGGACTTTCCAGGCCGCAAGCAATCATGGGGCACCTTCACCCTGCGAGCTCCCCTGCTGTGGGTGCAGAGCCCGCATCCCCCAGGGAGCAGCCACTCCCTGAAGGGGTCCCTGAAGATCATCCCCAGGAAGCGGACACCTCTGGAGCCTCCAGGGGCAACACAGGCTGCCTTTTAAAAATCTCCAGAAACCAGAGGCAGGTAACCTAACACTCTTTTCTGATAAGAGCTCCTGCACTGTCCTTTGCCCAAATACAATGGTCCTCATTCGCTTTCACTCGGGGCTTTGAACTCCACACAAAACCCTGCCCTCCCTCCAGGCCCTGCCCTGACGGCCCGCTGGAGCCGCTGGAGCCGCCGGAGCCGCCGCCAGCCCACTCAGCATTTCCTTTGTGCGAACCATGAAGGTGTTTATAATGGAGCCTTTTTTCTGCTCCATACTCAGCCCCAGAGGTGAAATCTCAGCCGAGGAGGATGCGCTGCTCCCCAAACACCAATGCCTGAGAGGAGGCTAGGTTGCTCTCGAGCAGGACCCGGTTCTGGCGCTCGGGCGGGGACAGGTGAGCTGGAAAAGGGCCGATGCCCTTGACGCTGGCTGCCCATCTGAGAGGTCGATGGGAAAGGGGGCCCCTGGCACCGCCCCAACCCCCCACAAGCTACAGCCTTGTGCTCCAAAAGCTCATCGGGAAGCTGACCGACTCCCACGCAGGATGCCCCTGTCCCTCAGAAGCCACGTGTAGCTGTCCCGCGGGTCCCGCTCACCCACAGAATTTGGCCTTGCTGGCCTCTCTCACTAGTGATGTCATGGTGCCTA